CAAAGCGTGATTCCCCCCGCGAGTAACAACACGAACCTGCGCGCCGCGACGCTGTTCCCCTGTTTGTCCACCAACCCGTAAACAGACCAGCACCGCCGTCGCCGCCACTACGCCGCCTCTCACGCACAACCTAACCCAGCCTCCGGCCCCGCTGCTGGCCAATCACCTCTCGCTCTCGTCCGCAAGCGCCCGCCCCCCTGCTCTGGCGGGGAGCCCAGCCAATGAGAAGCAGTAGGGCAGCAACGGCCTAGCCAATGGGAGCCGTTTCCTTCAGAAGGCAGGCCAATGGGAGCTGAGCAAATGGAGCTGGGCTTTCATCCTCGCAGAAACTTGGAAAGTCTACCAATCGGCGCACTAGGACGTGAAGCGCTGCCCAATCAGAAGTACGCAAACTTCGAGAGGGCGGGATCTGATTGTTTCTGTTGAGGCGGGACTTGGACGTTGAAGGGGTCATTGGCCGCAGCCGTGCGGCGCAGCAGTGACGCAGTTTGTGCGACACTTACTTCTTACGGACAGCGGTGTTTGTGTCCGCAGGCTGGAGCTTCACCGTTCGCTCTTCAAGGAGCCACCCTCGCTCGATCGGGGCTGGTTTCACAGAGACTGAGATTTGTCAATTCAAAAGGAGAAATTGTTCAATTATCATACAGATAGAGACACACTGTCCTGAACTCTGCCGGACTGGTCAGTGTCCGTAAAGACACACTGTACTGGACTGGTCGCTCTCCGTACAGACACACTGTGGTGGACTGGTCACTGCGTACAGACACACTGTGGTGGACTGGTCACTGCGTGCAGACACACTGTACTGGACTGGTCGGTGTCCGTACAGAGACACTGTGGTGGACTGGTCAGTGTGTGTACAGACACACTAGACAGAGCTCTGCTGGACTGGTCAGTGTCCGTACAGACACACTGTGGTGGACTGGTCACTGCGTACAGACACACTGTACTGGACTGGTTACTGCATACAGACACACTGTGCTGGACTGGTCAGTGTCCATACAGAGACACTGGACTGGAGTGGTCACTCTGTACAGACACACTGTGGTGGACTGGTCACTGCGTACAGACACACTGTGGTGGACTGGTCAGTGTGTGTACAGACACACTAGACAGAGCTCTGCTGGACTGGTCAGTGTCCATACAGAGACACTGGACTGGAGTGGTCACTCTGTACAGACACACTGAGCTTGAAATACAAATCACATATACACTATAAATAAAAAAATACAAAGTAAAAAATACACAAAAATGAACATAACTGCATGTTTAAATCTAAAGTCATCCTCTTTCCTTTATTACAAACTGAGCAGAACTGTACAGATACAGAACATCACCATGGAGAACAGCTGTATGTCAGCTGTCGATGTGCACAAGAGTGTGTCAGTGCATGGGACTGTGTGTGTAATAGTGTGTGTGGAGGAGTATTTGTGAGTGTATCAGTATATGTGCGTTTAAGAGTGTATGTGTGTGTAGGAGCATATGTGTGTAAGAATATTTGTGTATCATTGTATGTGTGTAAGAATATTCCTGGTTCTGTGAGTGTGTAGTTGCAGATGTCAGGTATAGAGCTCGAAGTCCAGTCTCCTAGAGTTGTAGAACTGTGCACTGGGATGTCCAATTCGCCGGCAATAAACTCCTTCTTTAAAATAGCCCTGATCAACCCAGTCCTGAGAGAGAGAGAGA